ATTTTTAATATACACATACATCATAGCTGTACAAACTTGCAATCAGATTCTAACTTGCCTTTTCAGTTCATGTCTATATCCATTCTTGTTTAGTCAATTCATGTATGTACATATGCATGAACTATGATTTATGTATTTGAATTCATGTACAATCTTTATGATTTATGTCTGTACAATTGGAGATGATCTCCCGAATCAACAAGTGTGAAATACGATACATATGATCGAGTTACTGTACTGCATGTAAGAAAGCAAAAAAGGAGAAATCAAACCAGACAAGGTTTTGCTTCTTAACTTTGCATCATATGCCAGTCATTTTACTCGAGTCTAAAGAAACAAAAAAAAAAAAAAAAATTGAAACTAACCAAAGTCGATGGATTCAATTGACTAATCAAGAATTTCAAGGATTTCAGTCCGTCAAAAAGCTACTAGAGATTGATGCAATTTGACCATGGAAAACAATGACAGATCTAGAAAAGGAAGGAAGCAAGCAATGAATTAAATCAATGCTTCAGTATTGTTATCCCATCAATACTACAGTAGTCCTAACATTTAGATGAGACAAAATAGCATTAATGGCATGTAAGGTAAGTTAGGCCAGACAACATTGGTCATTATTAGTTTTGGTTGGAACATTAGTGATAGAGAGTCGGAGGAACTGATTCTTTTGCTCAATGAATAAGAGGTTTCTGATTCAGGTTGATATGGAGGATAAGAGGGTTAGGATTCTAGATCCTCCACTATATACATTAAAATGTCAGTATTTTGGCTGAATGGTTTTCCCTTTTAGGATCACTTTCATTATATAGGAATAGAAATATGTATAACTATAGTAAGTAATCAATCTAATATGGTAATGTACAATTATGGTAAACACAATAATATAAGGATGGCAATATAATCATAATATAATCTCCATTGATCTCATTGACATCTTGAAGTGTCTCATTTAAATTTCGGGTGAAGTTAATTGTCACGTGTGATTTCATTCATCCACGTAGGCGAAAATTCAAACGAAAAACATCCAATGAGCGATGGAGTGCAAAAACTTGAAGTTGAATGGCCAGTGGGAAGCAATGTAAGGTTCAATAAGTAGTGATATATGTCAAAGTTCAGTAGATGTTGAAACATTTGACTCCAACTTCCAGTCAATGAGGTGGAACTTAACAAATTAATAAAATATATAATATCCTTAATTTTTACACAAGAAAATCAAGAAACAAATCAATAACCA